TCAGGACTTTTGTGGCTATTGTAGTAACATTGTTTTCAGGTGACCACTCTCTCATAGTTAGTGATGCTTGAGTGGAACCTCAGGCCATGAAGTAAAAAGGGACAAGAATTGTCTCAAGAGACTGCAGCTTGGAGGAAGGTCCTGAAGGTGACAGGAGGTAGATTAAAAAATCAAGAGTGAGGGCTGGGAAGGTGGCTTAGTGGTAGAGCGCTTGCCTTGCATGCATGAGGCCCTGGGTTCAATTCCTCAGCACCACATAAGCAAAAAAAAAAGAAAAAAGCCAGAAGTGGCGCTGTGGCTCAAGTGGTAGAGAGCTAGCCTTGAGCTGAAGAGCTGAGGGACAGCGCCCAGGCCCAGAGTTCAGGCCCCACGAGCGGACCCAAAAAAAAAAAATCAAGAGTGAGTGACATGGTTGAGAAATAGTGTAGGTGCCTATTGCTGCTATTGTCCCAATCCCAAGATTTTTTACTGAGGGCTGGATGGGATTCAGTGATTTAGGAGAGTTGGGCTTCAGTGGCTTCAGAGGTATGATCAGATAAACCAAAGAGAACCAGGCACTATAGTTTATAGTGCCTTATAGTTTAGCCTTTGCTTGCTCAGGATTGCACATACTAAGGAGAAAGTTAGTTTCTTGAGCTCTAAATACTGACTCCCTGGTATACACCAAAATATATGTTTGAGTTCTCTGAAATATACTAGGAGAGATAATTATGTTCTATGAGTTTTAGTCTGCATACAGTAAAATGGACTTCCATCACATATTTGTATGATTTTTGACAAATGCATAGATTCATGAATCCACCATAATTATGGTGCAGAGCAATCTTGTCACCCCTAAATTCCCTCAGTCTCCTTTTGTAGTAAACCCTTGCCCGTCTCAACCCTTGACAGCCAGTGATGTAAACACTGTCCCTGTAGTTTTGGCTTCTCCAAGTGGTACATGAGTGGTTATGCATGCAGACTTTGAACCTGGGTCCTTTTGTGATTGATTGATATGACAGGACGGATCGATCTTGTGTGGTTCCTGAGCATTGTCCTTTATGCTGCAGAGGAATCCTCCTATGTGGACATGCCACCTTGTGCCCTCTAAAGAGCATCTGTGTAGTTCCAAGTTCAGGAGGATAATACCCAAGCTGACGGACTTTTGTGTAGGTTCTTAGAGTGATTATAAGTTTGAACATGCTTAGGTAAATACCAAAATTGAGGTTGCTGGGCCATGAACTAAGTATATGTTTAGGGAACTACCAAACTTTTCAAAAAAAAATTCTCTATGCTACAGGGCACTGGTGGCTCATAACTATAATCCCAGCTACTCAGAAAGCTGAAATCTGAGGATCACACTTAAAAGCCAGCCTAGGCAGGAAAGTCCATGAAACTTTTACTCAAATTAACCACGAAAAAGCCAGAAATGGAGCTCTTCCTTTAGAAATTGTTACTTACTCTTGCTTGCAAGCTTTTCATATATTAATCAGAAATTTGCTTTATAACTATAATCTGCCAATCTAACTTGTGTTTTCATTCTCAAAATAGTTACTAAACTTAATTTTGATAAAATCATAGTTAACATTTTTATCTTTTGCATATTTCTTTTTCCAGTATTGTATTGTGCTTCCTACATCATCCTTTCTTTGGCATCATTTGTTGAAAATACTCTTCTCAACTGAAATACTTTCACAACTTCATGGAAAGTCATTTTCCTGTATTTAAGCTGGCCTGCACGTGTCTGTCTTCAGCAAATACCATGCTACCTTGATTGTACTAAATTCACAGTAAATCTCAAAAATGGTAATGTGGCCTTCAGCCGTGTGTGTGTGTGTGTGTGTGTGCGCGCGCGCCATAGCTTGAATTTAAGGCCTCACATTTATTCTGCTCGCTTGTTTGGTTGATGCTTTCCTACTTGAACTGTACCTCCAGCTTAGCTTTTGGTTGATTAGTTTGGAAAGGGAGTCTCTCGGACTTTTCTGCCTGAACTGGCCCTGACCTACGGCCCTCCGTATTTCACCTCTCTGGGATGCTACCATTACAAGCATGAGCCACTAGTACCTAGTGTTCTTTATCAAAATAACTTTTATGTTTATTTGTTGAAAGCCATATATCTTATGTAAAACAAATGAGACAGAAGTAAAATGCTTTTGTGTTTGAAAGCAAATTGACATGATTTTTTTTCTGCTGGGACCTTGAGCATGTGGAGAAGGGGACAGCACGTGCAAGCATGTGCTGATGCCCTGGTCCCTCCTGTTCCTTGGAGGCTATGGGTCTCTCTACAAGTGCCTTGTATTTAGGTGGGATCATTTTCTAGGTATACTTTCTTAATTACTACTTGCAACTTTTGAGACCCTCTGCAGCTGTCTCAGCATTTGGGGTAGGGGAGACAGGGTAGGTTCAAGTGCTCTTTCTCTGATTTAGCCCCCATTATGCCCCTTGTTCTTGAGCAAAGTCCTCTCAGCTGCCCTGTCCATCCTTTGTTACAGAAGTAGTGTTCACCCTCTGCCCCCTATTCCTCAGAGTACAAAGAAAGAGCAGCTGGATGGAGGCATTTATCACTGTGCTTGCCTGCCAGGATGATAGATAGATAGGTAGATAGATAGATAGATAGATAGATAGATAGATAGATAGATAGATAGATAGATAGATAGATAGATAGATAGATAGATAGATAGATAGATAAGATAGATAGATAAGATAGATAGATGCCAAGTCTTTATTTGGGATCACTGCAGAGAAACTCTGGAAGCATGAAGGGCACTGCTCAGTGAAATTTCTTCTAGAGGTCCAGGTGACTGAAAGAGGTAATAAGTGATGTTACTAAGATACAGGTGGCATCAAGAAATATAGAAAGTAGCCTAATTGTGCCCCAGAGATAAGTCAGATGTTGATGTTGGTATTTAGGGCTTAGAGAGGAAGAAGAATGCTATAGGATCACCATGCACCAACATCAACTCAAAATGGATTAAAGACCTTTACATTAAACCTGAATCTCTGAAACTACTGCAGGACAGAGTAGGAGAGACACTTGAACTAATAGGCACAGGAAGGAACTTCCTGAACAGAGTCCCAGGGTCACAACAAGTTGGAGAGAGACTCGACAAATAGGACTACCTTAAAATAAAAAGCTTCTGCACAGCTAAATCTATCGCAACTAAGCTAGAAAGACAACCAACTAATTGGGAAAAAATATTTACCAGCAATATAGCAGACAAGGGGTTAACATCCTGTATATACAGGGAACTCAAGAAACTAATCCCTCCCAAACCTAACAAACCAATTACTAAATGGGCAAGGGAACTAAAGAGGGACTTCTCAGATGAAGAAATAAAAATGGCAAAAAAACACATGAGGAAATGTTCATCATCCCTGGTGGTGAAGGAAATGCAAATAAAGACAACCCTGAGATACCACCTTACCCCAGTCAGAATGTCCCACATCCAAAATCAGCCAACGACAAATGCTGGAGGGGATGTGGAGAAAGAGGAACCCTATTACACTGCTGGTGGGAATGTACACTTATACAACCACTTTGGAAAGCAGTCTGGAGGGTCCTTAAATGCTAAAGATTGACCTCCCTTACGACCCAGTCATACCACTTCTAGGCATCTACCCTGAACAACAGGAACCAATATACAAGGACACGTGCACCTCCATGTTTATTGCAGCACTGTTCACAATAGCTAGGATATGGAAACAACCCAGATGCTCCACCACAGATGAATGTATCAAAAAATTGTGGTATCTATCCACAATGGAATATTATGCAGCCATTAGAAATGACAAAATAATGGCATTTGCAGGGAAATTGATGGAGCTAGAAGGAATCATGTTGAGCGAGGTAAGCCAAGAGCAAAGAGACAAACGGTACATGGTCTCCCTAATAAGTGGATGCTAAATCCAAAATGTTAGGTGATATGACAAAATTAACAGGACTTAAGAAACAAAGAACTCCCACTCATCTGGTCGAAGCACTACTAAATATCCCCATGCTGCTGATCACATGTATGGTGTATATGTGTACACCGTTATATGTTATAGACTGTGATAGACAATTTGCTCAAGGAAAGTTAGAATGAACTTGACTTTAAATGAGCATCATTATTCCACAATACTGTGAAATTTGGGAAATTATGTAATCACTTAATCACAATTAAAAAAAAAAAGAACCTCAGGGAAGGTAGGGAGGGAAGGGATGGTAGGGGGAAAACAATGGAGGGGGTAACAGTGCTCAATAGGAAGTGTACTCATTACCTTGCTCATGTAACTGTAACCCTCTATATAGTATCTTTACAATAAACATTTTTAAAAATGCTATAGGAAATATTATGTGACTATCCTCATGCCTAACCAGATGTGCTATGTCTTCTTCTGTGTGTGTGTGCTCAGTGTGGCCCAATCATCTGGAGTACATATTGACTGGAAATGACTGAGCATACTGTCATTCATAATAAATTTATATTCAACTATAGGAGAAATAATATGCATAGGAAATATTTTATTCAGTGGAATAATAGGAACATTTTCTTTACTAAGCAATAATAAACACCTAGAAACATTTTTATTAAAGTATATTTTGTGTTTTCAAGCCTTATTTATGTAAATCTCATGGGAAAAACAATAATAAAGTACTTCCCCATTTATGATGATAATGATAGTGACCTCAAAGCTAATGTTTTCTTCCTCTGTTCAGCATTGCCATAGACAATTCAAGCTTTTTAGCACTGACTGAAAACATCAGAAAGAAAATATTGAAGCCTGCTTTTTTCCAGTTGCTACTGCTAGGCTCTTTAGTTACCCTGAGTTACATACACACATACACATAATATCATAGAAACCATGTTGCTGAACTAGTTAGAACCAATATTCTCCCTGAAGTAATTGAAATGGATAAGGTTTTAGATCTACAACTGTAGTTTTTAGTCACTGCTAATTTGCAGTCCTGATGTTTGGATAAGGGATGCTAACCTCCTGGGCAGTAGCATTGACCATGCTGCTGTGGATGTGTCTTACAGGTGCGTGCTGCTCCCACTCTTGGGAATGAAGCCTCCCCAGCAGAGCCTGTACCTGCTTGTTGACTCGGTGGATGAAGGGTGGAACATCGCCGAAGGTGAACAGACATCTAGCAGCTTGTCTGGGACGGTGGCTGAGCTCTTAGCTGGACACCATGACTTCTTTCCACCATGGCTGTTACTGCTCTGTTCTGCCCGGAAACAGAGTAAGGCTGTGACTAAAATGTTCACTGGTAAGCACAATTCCTTACTGCCATCCAAAATGGGCTGCATTGATGAACGAAACCTGGGACAGGGTTCTTTCTCAGAGCACAGCCATGGGAGAAAGCCACAGGAGCTTTGGTTGCTTGTTCCATCAGCTCTTATCATCCATAGCATATTTTACAGTCATCAGAACACTCTTAAAATTCTGTCCTGGATGCCTTAGTACAGGGCCAGGGGTGTTTTGTATTGTTTGTGTTCTGTCTTTGGGGCTGCCTTTAGTATGCTGCTGTGTCAAGGTCAGTTCTGTTTCTTCTTACTAAGCCAGCATCTTAAAAGCAGTGGTTATGTCTTTAAATTGCTCTAAGTGCCTTTCTTGCTGTATCGGAGAAGCCGTAGAACTAATTGCCTCTTAGGATACTTCCTGATGTTACTTCCTTTTTCTAAGTGTGAGACAACAGTCTAATATATAAAGGTACACTGCACTTTTCTTCTTTTCCTTTTTTTTTTCTTTTCTTTTTAATCAACCCTACTAGAGTTGTGGCTGCTACAACTTTAGTTGATTATATGCAGCACTTTTTGAACTGTGTGAATAGATTCTAAAACAAGGACTCTCAGCATTTGCAATATAACTGGAAGGATATGAATTGAGTTAATCAGGAGTCAGCACCATCACTTTTTTTTTTTTTTTTTGTCAGTCGTAAGGCCTGAACTCTGGGCCTGGGTGCTGTCCCTCAGCTCTTCAGCTTAAGGCTAGCGCTCTACCACTTGAGCCACAGCACCACTTCCTGCTTTTTCTGCTTATGTGGTGGCGGAGGAATCAAACCCAGGGCCTCATGCATGCAAGGCAAGCACTCTACCACTGAGTCACCTTCCCAGCCCCAGCCCCATCACTTTTAAGTAGCTCTGTACAATCTTACAATGTGGCAGAATCTTATGTTACTTTGTAAGGATTTTCTGTGACCTGTAATGTCCTATGGGGTGTCAGTCTGTCTCAGTTTCCCTTGCTATTGTGGCAGAACTTTGCTTCCCGTGTTTGGCTTCTTGCTTGTTACCAATAAAATCAAGAGAGAGTTGTTAACATTGATGCCACACTTACTGTGTCAGGCATAGCAAACCTTCACCCTCATTAGAGGTGCCAGTGCTGGTCCCAGTATGTATACTCTATGTGTTTTACAGTTTACACAGCAGCACCACAGGTATGATCTTAGCTCTTAATACTCGCCAGCTTGTGCTCATAACCTTACCAAAAGCCTTTAAGATGTTGCTGTTATTATTATCATTTTATTCTCATCTTTAAGCAAAAGCTTTTATTATTGCTTCTAAATCTAAATCACTTTTTTCACTGCCAGAGAGTAGTATTCTTTCTGAGAATAACTTGTTTTTCTGTTGTCCTCTTCATAGACATTCACAGTGTTGACATTTTGACACTACTAGTTGAGAAACCTTAATCTAATGCTCCAAAATCCACAAACATAATTCCACAAGTGGAGGTTTTCTCACCACAAAAATTGTTTCATGTACAGAATTACTAAGAGTCTTATGTAAAATTGCCTAGTCAATTTCTTTAAGCATGGGGCCCTGTCCCCAATATATCTTACCTTGTATAAGCTTATATTCCAAAATCTGAATTCCAAGCATATTTATTTATTTATTTATTTGGGGCCTGAACTCTGGGCTTGGCGCTGTCCCTCAGCTCTTCAGCTCAAGGCTAGCGCTCTACCACTTGTGCCACAGCGCCACTTCCGGCTTTTTTTTTTCTGTTTATGTGGTGCTGAGGAAACGAACCCAGGGCCTCATGCATGCAAGACAAGCACTCTACCACTGAGCCACCTTCCCAGCCCCCAAGCGTTTTAATTGAAGGTCGTTATTCAACCTGTATTCCAAAATAGTTTGTTCTTAGGTGTCTCTTAAACATGATTTGTGCTAAAGGTTTATGGGACAAACATGGACTTGGAATGGCTGGGTTAGAGAGTTTGTGCCTTTTGAACTTTAGTTAATCTTACCAAATTACTAACTAGAATGATTGAAGTAATTTGCACTCCTACTGACATGAGCTTTCCCTTTCCCTGCATGGCACCATCCAGCATGGGGTCTTTTCAGATCTGTTTTATCTGTTGTAGGGTATGGCACTTGGTTTCATCTACCTAGAATGTCCTCCCTGATCTTTCATTGCCGTCTCTCCACTTAGTTCTCTGTTCAGGTACCATACACTGCATTTTCTGTTAGAGCTCCATTTTGACCTCCTCAGCTTCTTAATTACACACTCATCCCTTGGCTGGCTTTATTTTCTTTAGCATGTCACTGCTGATTAAAATATGTTAGTCTGTCATCCCCTACTAGGATGACATCTCCAGAAATTGGTCCTGACTTACCCACTCACCACTTTACCTCTCCAGCATCTAGAACTCAGCTGGAAAAAAAAGTGGTTTTCAGTGATTTGCAGATGAATAAATTTGTGTTTTCTTTCAACCATGATTTACTGGGGGGAAAACAAACAACTAGGAACCCAATCCTAAGATGGTGGTCAGATTTTCTTACCATGCTCCTTCCACTTAGATATTAACTGTAAAAAATTCTAGGCTTCAAATAAACATTTCTTCTACCTCTGTTAATGGTAAATTTTTAATTTGGGGTACAACTTTAAGAATATTACTAATCTAATTAAAACCTATTACCAGTACTTTCTTTAAAAAAGATACAGATCTTAAAAGTGTTCTTTCTAGCCAGGCACCGGTTACTTACACCTGTAATCCTAGGTACTCAGGAGGCTGAGATCTGAGGATTGCAGTTTGAAGTCAGCCCTGGCAGAAAAGTCCATGAGACTCTTATCTCCAATACACTACTCAGAAAAAGCTAGGTGTGGCACTCTGGCTCAAGTGGTAGACTGCTAGCTTTGTGCACAAAGAGGCTCAAGGACAGTGCCCAAGTCCAACCAGAAAAAGGAAAAAAAAGTTATTTCTTTGTATTAATACCAGTATTGAAATATATTTTAAAATATTTGTCAAAAAATTCTGTCTCATGTCTGTTTGGGTTTGTCTTTATTAAGAGTTTTTATTTCATATTCCTTCATGCTTGCAACTTTCTTCACTTTTTAAAAATTGTAATAGATACTTTGAAGTCTACTAAGCATGTTCTTATATATTTTTGTTCACTGTTCTGTATTTATACTTTTACACTTAGACTATTCCTGTAGCACATTGTCTATTGAATGGTGTCAAGTAAGGCTCCAATGAGATTAAGTTACCCAGACCATAAATTTTCTTAATAGGTTCTTGGGGATACTAGGTAATTATTGTGTACCTCACTTTATAGGCTTGGCACAGGCTCTGTTACCCACTATTCTACTTTCTCCAGCTCTGAGTAGTGTCACCATGAGAGCTACATTTATAAGAATAGAAAGTACATCAGCAGTGAAGTGGTCCAACATTTCAATGAGTTTTCATCCCCTACGAATTTTTGTTATTTTCGGCATCACCTTAGAATTTTAAAGTACTTTACAAATACAGTGAAGTGTTCATGTTCATAAGAAAGAGATGAGTATTAGTAAAAGGAATTAAAGTTGAAAAAGTAACTAGACTGAGGTTATATAGCACAGTGGCAAGTGCAGAGGCCTGGATTAAATCTTCACCATTAAATAAAAATATGTTCTGGGCTAGGAAAGTGGCTCAGTAGTAGAGTGCTTGTCTAGCATGCATGAAGCCCTGGGTTCCATTCCTCAGTACCATATAAACAGAAAAAAGCCTGATATGATGCTGTGGCTCAAGTGGTAGAGCCACAGCCAAAAGAAGCTCAAAGACAGTACCCAGGCTATGAGTTCAAGCCCCAGACAGACAAAAATAAAAAAGTTACGTGCAATATTCAAAATACTTTATTTAAATTGTCAAATAACTACTGTTTTATTTTCTTTATGGAAGAGTGTATGTGTTGGTTTTGCTTTTTTGTGTCAGGGAGGCTTAATGCCATGCTCTGGTACACAAGGAATAAGAGTTATATCTGTTGATAGAAAAAAGCAATTATTTTTCTGCCATCTAGATGTGTTTACACCACAATTTATATACTAGGTATAATCAGTAATATTGACTTACTAGCATTAACTTTTCATTGACTCATTTGTATTGGTTTATTTTACTTCAGAGACCTTCTGTTGGAAGATAGGGAAGTTGCTGTAGCACCTTTCACATGCTTTTGTGTCTTTTTTCCCTAGGCTTTCGAAAAATAAGTTTAGATGACCTTCGGAAGGCATATATTGTGAAGGACGTCCAGCAGTACATCCTTCATCGTTTAGATCAAGAAGAAGCTTTGCGCCAGCACCTCACAAAAGAGACTGCTGAGATGCTAAACCAGCTCCACATTAAGAGCAGTGGGTGCTTCCTTTATCTAGAGCGGGTTTTAGATGGAGTTGTAGAAAATTTTATTATGTTAAGAGAGATTCGCGACATCCCAGGAACTCTGAATGGTCTGTATCTCTGGCTCTGCCAAAGGCTTTTTGTAAGAAAACAGTTTGCAAAGGTGCAGCCTATCTTGAATGTGATTCTCGCAGCCTGCCGACCTTTGACCGTAACAGAATTATATCATGCAGTATGGACCAAAAATATGTCCTTAACCTTGGAAGACTTCCAACGCAAGTTAGATGTCCTTTCCAAACTTCTCGTGGATGGACTAGGGAATACTAAAATACTCTTCCACTACAGCTTTGCAGAGTGGCTTTTGGATGTGAAACACTGCACTCAGAAGTACTTGTGCAATGCAGCGGAAGGGCACAGGATGCTGGCCATGAGTTACACCTGTCGAGCCAAGAATTTAACACCACTGGAAGCCCAGGAGTTCGCATTGCACTTAATCCATTCAAACCTGCAGTTGGAGCCAGCAGAGCTGGCCCTGTGGATGATATGGAATGGCACACCTGTTGGGGATTCTCTTTCTACTTTAATCCCCAAGGAGCAGGAGGTGCTCCAGCTTTTGGTTAAAGCCGGCGCTCATGTCAACAGTGAGGATGAGCGCGCCTCCTGCATAGTGCGGCAAGCCTTAGAAAGAGAGGACTCCATTCGGACCTTACTAGATAATGGCGCTTCAGTGAATCAGTGCGATTCCAGCGGCCGGACCCTGCTGGCAAATGCTGCATACAGCGGCAATTTGGACGTGGTGAACTTGCTGGTGTCCAGAGGTGCGGATTTGGAGATAGAAGATGCTCACGGACACACCCCGCTCACCCTGGCTGCCAGGCAGGGACATACCAAGGTGGTCAACTGCCTGATTGGGCGCGGTGCAAACATCAACCACACGGATCAAGATGGCTGGACGGCCCTGAGGTCTGCAGCCTGGGGCGGGCACACAGAGGTGGTGTCTGCGCTGCTGTATGCCGGTGTGAAGGTGGACTGTGCAGACGCTGACAGCAGGACAGCCCTGCGGGCCGCAGCCTGGGGTGGCCACGAGGACATTGTCCTGAATCTGCTGCAGCATGGTGCTGAGGTGAACAAAGCTGACAATGAAGGGAGAACCGCGCTGATCGCCGCAGCCTACATGGGGCACCGGGAGATCGTGGAGCATCTTCTGGACCACGGTGCCAAGGTAGACCACGAGGATGTGGACGGCAGGACAGCCCTCTCAGTGGCTGCACTCTGTGTCCCTGCCAGCAAAGGCCACGCATCCGTCGTGAGCCTCTTAATCGACCGTGGGGCCGAAGTGGACCACTGTGACAAGGACGGCATGACGCCCCTGCTGGTGGCTGCCTATGAAGGACACGTGGATGTGGTGGACCTGCTCCTCGAGGGTGGTGCAGATGTGGACCACACCGACCACAATGGGCGTACACCCCTGCTGGCTGCCGCCTCCATGGGCCACGCGTCTGTGGTCAACACCCTTTTGTTCTGGGGTGCGGCCGTGGACAGCATTGACAGTGAAGGCAGGACCGTGCTCAGCATCGCCTCGGCCCAGGGCAACGTTGAGGTGGTCCGCACGCTGCTGGACCGGGGCCTGGATGAGAACCACCGGGACGACGCCGGCTGGACCCCGCTACACATGGCGGCCTTTGAGGGCCACAGGCTCATCTGTGAAGCTCTTATCGAGCAGGGGGCGCGGACCAATGAGACGGACAATGATGGGCGGATCCCTTTCATCCTGGCCTCGCAGGAGGGCCACTATGACTGTGTGCAGATCCTCCTGGAGAGCAAGTCCAATGTGGACCAGCGTGGGTACGATGGGAGGAACGCCCTGCGCGTGGCTGCGCTGGAGGGACACCGGGACATCGTGGAGCTGCTCCTCAGCCATGGTGCTGACGTGGACTACAAGGACGCTGATGGCAGGCCCACCCTCTACATCCTGGCCCTCGAAAACCAGCTCACCATGGCCGAGTACTTCCTAGAGAACGGGGCCAATGTGGAAGCCAGCGATGCGGAGGGCCGGACCGCGCTCCATGTGTCTTGTTGGCAAGGCCACGTGGAGATGGTGCAGGTGCTCATCGCCTGCCATGCAGACGTCAACGCAGCTGACAATGAGAAGCGCTCGGCCCTGCAGTCAGCTGCCTGGCAGGGCCATGTCAGGGTGTGCCAGCTGCTCATCGAGCATGGCGCCCAGGTGGACCACACGTGTAACCAGGGGGCCACCGCCCTGTGCATTGCTGCCCAGGAAGGGCATGTGGATGTCGTGCAGGTGCTGCTGGAGCACGCTGCCGACCCCAATCACGCTGACCAGTTTGGGCGCACTGCCATGCGTGTGGCGGCCAAGAATGGCCACTCACAGATCATCAAGTTACTGGAAAAATACGGCGCCTCCACTCTGAATGGCTGCTCCCCATCGCCCGTTCACACGATGGAGCAGAAACCTCCCCAGTCCAACTCATCCAGAATGCAGTCGTTGACCATGAAGTCCAGTAGCTCTGGCAGTACTGGTGGGGGCGATGCACAGTCCTCTTTACGTGGAGGCTTACCCAATGGGCCAGCACATGCATTCAGCTCTCCCTCGGAGTCCCCGGACTCCACAGTAGATCGGCAGAAGTCCTCCCTGTCCAACAATTCCCTGAAAAGCTCCAAGAACTCGTCCCTGAGAACTACTTCCTCCACGGCCACAGCCCAGACGGTGCCGATGGACAGCTTCCACAGCCTGTCCTTCACTGAGCAGATCCAGCAGCACTCGCTGCCCCGCAGCCGCAGCCGGCAGTCCATCATCTCCCCATCCTCCACCACACAGTCCTTGGCACACAGCCACACCTCACCCTGCAGTGACTTTGAGTGGAGCCAGGTGCAGCCCAGTGTGAAGTCCTCAAAACCACCTAAAGGAGGGGGGACATCAGAAAATGCTAGCAAGTCAGGGTCAGCGGGGAAGAAGGCGAATAAGTCCAGTAATTGTTCCCAGTCAAAGGTTTTAGAATATGAAATGACTCAGTTTGACAAAAGAGGGCCTGTAGGCAAATGTGGGAGCAGTGTACCTCTTAAACAAGGACCTGTAGATGCTCAGGGCAAAATCGTGCTGCCTGCTACCCCCCAGGACACAGGCCGGGCTCCACAGCAACTCCTAGGTGGAGAGCAGAAGAGGAGGAATGGGATCATGACAAATCCCAACTACCTACAGAGCAACCAGGTGTTTCTGGGTAGGGCCCCCGTCCCACGGACAGTCCAAGACAGAGGCCCTCAGGACCTGTTAGAGGGCTTCCCTTCCTCAGAGACACAATTAAGCCTTAAGCAAGCCCTGAAGCTCCAGATCGAGGGTTCCGACCCTGGCTTCAACTATAAAAAGGAAACGCCATTATGAAAGGTAAGATCTTGTGAACCTTGAAGGCAAACTCAGGCCAGAGGCAGGAGCTCATACTTGTCATCCCAGCCACTAGGGAGATGGACACTGGGTTGTACCCAGGCCAAAAGTTAGCCAGACCTGGCTCAATTATTATCCAGGCCTAGTGGTATAGGTCTGTGATGGCAGTTCTAGGGGAGGCCCAGGTAGGAGGATCAAGGTACAGAACTGGCCTTGGGCAAAAGAATGAGAAAGATAAAAACTGCTGGTGGTTCAGGCCTGTAATCCTAACAACTCAGGAGGCTGAGATCTGAGGATCACAGTTGGAAGCCAGCTGGGGCAGGAAAAGTCTATGAAACTCTTATTTCCAATTAAATACCAGAAAACTGGAAGTGGACCTATGGCTCAAAGTGGTAGAGCACTAGCCTTGAGTACAAAGCTCAGGGACAGTGCCCTGGCCCCGAGTTAAAGACTGACCCAAAAAAAAAAAAAAAAGTTCCCTTAGAATGCCTTTTTCTCAGATGTTTTTCTAATCTCCTGATCTATTTGAATGTAGTCTTTCAGCCAATCATCTTCATCCTTTGAAATTTGAATTCTCCTAGCTTGCATTTTCCCATTTCCTCCTTATCCAAAGCACTTGTCTCTAAATATGCTTTATAGATTCTATGGATTTATTATGTTTACTACTTTTCTGACTGAAAAGGAAATATGTGAGGGTAGGTAGGTTTGATCTGTTTGTCAATGCTGTGTTCCATGGACTTGGAATCATGTTTGAACTCTTGGTAATTTCTCAGTAAAATAAATTGAGTGAGTGAATGAATGAACACATAACTATTTATGGATCGCAGATGAACTGGTTCCTCTACAGTCATTCACCCTTTTACATGATCTTGGATGATAACACAAGTTAAAGCTAGCCTTGTAATATTCGTTGTTTTGCTTTGAAAATATTGTATATGTAACACTTAGCAGAGAGTTGGCCAATGTTAATTTTATTGTATTTTATCCTGGAAGAAGTCAAATCTGTAGTCATTAGCAGGTACTCTTGTTATGACAGATACCAAGGAAGATTTTCTTTTTATATATTCTTTTTTGACATTTAAGTAGTTGTACTAAAGGGTTTTACTTGAACATGTCAGTTTGTGAGCATAATGCATCTTGATCAGTGTCACCCCTTCCATCATTCTCCTCTACCTCCCCATACCCCACCCATCCCCTCAAATTACCTGCTTCTATTTTCACATATGAACATTAAATATTGTGACTGCATTCTCCCATTCTTCATCTCTCCATTCATCTTTCCCCTTCCCTTGACCTCTCGCCTGATCTGTGCAATACATGCTTCAGCTTGCTGGTATTCATTTTGTTATACTGTAATTTAGTAATCCAAAGGAGTTACACTATTGGAATCCGTGCCTGAATATGCCATACTTTAGTTAATGTGCTTGTATATGTATGCATATGACCCAGCATAATAAACATATACATTTATAATTTAGATATAAAAAATCATGTTAAGTGAAGTCAGGCTCAGACAAAATTTTCAATACTAAGAACAATGGAAAAGTGAATCATGTTTTGACCAGATGGGTGTTTAGAGCCCATTATATTCCCATAAAATAGTAGTTTTCATTAGATACACGTATTTTTTTTTTCACCACAAAGGAACTCACTAACAGGGTAGGGCAAGTTAGTGAGGAACTAGGTCCATACATACCTCTTCCATGTGGGGACATTTTCAGAGGCACGTTTTCCACATTGGAAATGTATCTGAAGAGGACATTGGGAATATTTGTTGTTTATACCACCACTGTGTCCATCCTTTTTCCTTTAACAAATGTCACTCTCTCAGATAGACATGTCTTGTTTCTTGTGTCTGTGCAGATGTATTTTAGACATAAGTGAAACCTTACTGTAATTAACACCTTCATGTTTTCCCTCCAGTATAAATTTACAGATAACTAGTCACATGTCATTCAAAAACTACTACTCTAATTTGCCTTATTTTCAATAGCACAACCTTCTAACTCCATGACATCTTTTGTAAAAGCAAAGTATTAATATATAATAAACAGTAAAATCCAAGTATTAAGGTAAATACCTTATGGAATCATTAAAAGGGAATTACAGCTGAAGGAATGGCTCAGGTATCATACAAGCATATCAAGCATGAGGTCCTCAGTTTAAAACCCAGTACTTCCTAAAAAGAAAAAATGTGTGTGTGTGTGTGTGTATTGTAAGTTAAATAATAAATTCCTAATAGATTAGCCTATTAAACTTACGTTTCATGTAGTCGGTATTATGTAAATATGAGTATATATGTTCTTTCATAAAAATTTTACAAGTATGTAATAAGGAATGTAGAGATTAATTCTTTTTTCTTGAATTTTTGTGTTAGTGTGCTATTCTGGGGAATAGAAGACATTGCAGTGGAATGAATGGTTCTTCAGCTACCAGATGAAAACATAAAATGCCTATTGATTTGCTGGAAAAAAATCTGAAGAATGTGATACCGCAGTATAGTTACCTTAATTAATGTGCCTGACTAGTAAGGCTGCCTTCTAAGTGTGACCCTATGTGCTTAAAAATCTCATTGTGTGTGCTTTGTACTTGCAACTCAGAAAAAGCACTGTTTTGAAGAAAAAATGCAGAGGTATACTGCAGCTCCCTGGTAAAGCTGAAAAAAAAAAAAAACCTTTGAGTTAAGTATTTTAAGATTTGATAAATGTGCATGTGCCATGGTCAGATATGTATGGAAGGCAGTGTTCCTTGTATTTATTTTTTTTCTTTTTGTGGCAAAGAAAATGTAAGTGTAGTATTTCAGTCACATTTGCATTGTAGTATGTGCCTGGTTCTTGTACCTTTAAAAGTGTTTCTCAATAAAATAAATATCGCAGCTGTCTTATGTTCACTATTCCTTCAGCAGCAGAGAAAATGAGGTTCTACATAAATGCCACATTGACATGAAAACTTGGTTTCTTGAAAGATTTTCAAAAAATATCATTTCTAATAGTTTAGGGAGCTGTTCTGAGTAGTTGAGAAATCTGGCTTTTTCCAATAGAATACTCATCTCTGGCTAAAAGTATGAAAATAAGCAATCAGCCTATAGGCTGCAGAAGATTCCATTCATTACATTCACAGGGTACAGTGTCCCCTTCCATGAACTGTCATTCCACCTCCAAGAAGACAGACTCATTCCTGATGCGGGATCATTCTCAGGGACAAAGGCATGCCTCAGTCACTTGTGTGTCCCTAGCACGCACACTTGGTATATCTGAAGGAAGAGTTCTGATCCCTGAATAACTCATTCCTACCCTACTCTTCCTCTTATGTAGAATTTATCCATGTAAACGTGAATGCTGGCCTCTTGCTAAGCTTTTCTCTACTTACTAATCACTGCATCACCAAAGTGGCCACTACTCAGAATCAGTTGAGTTGCTTTGAAATGCAAATGAATGGCTTAGTGGGCTAAGTATTGTTGTTGGATGTACTTGTGCTGCCCTTTGAAGGTGATATGGCTGGCCCACAACTGACTGAGACTAGAGCATGTGTATTATTATTTGATAAAAGCGATGGATTCTCTGTCCACATGCTTTTTCCTGTTTCCTTCTTTGGACCGTGGCTGAATGCCAAGGTTGAGGGAGACAGAGGTCTGTGAGCATGGGGAGACCTTGGTTCAAATGCCTGTGGGCCCACAGCTCCAGCCTCATGGGTATATTCTACCCAGCAGAGCCCACTGGCATGGGCCAGCTTGAAAAGGCTTGACATATGAAAATGAGGGGATAGATTTGATCTTTGAATGAACCTACCAATCTGACACATCCCAGAAATTCTGTTCTTCCCATGTGCTGTTGAAAAGGAGGAATGAGGAAAGAGAATTTGGAGATTGAGCACAAAACCATCGCTACTACTGAGAGGAATCTTTTAGTATCAGAATAATGATATCCTCTATAAAGGACTCATAGGTGAGGCGTTCTTTATGAAAATAGAAATGTGTAATTGGTTGGGATAAGTATTTTTCACTTGAATCTTTGCATAAAGCTTTTCTTTTGGAGTCAGCAAAACTTACTTTCATCTGTAAGTTGTAACCAATAAGTCATAATCCAGATAAGGAGATAAGTTGATGAGTTCAATCAAAGTTAAGGCGACATGGCAATATCGATAATTCGAATGTGAATGTTTCAAGTATTGAATTCTTGTCCCTATGGGACATTTATTGACAACACTTAATAGGACTCTTTCAAAGTAGCCTTAAAAGTGTTAATGATTCTGTTAATAATATGAACACATACTCTAATTAGAACCAACTTCACTCCCCCTCTGGTACAGTACATTGCAATGGCTGTTGAGGATGGAGCACTATCTAATTTCTTACTAGGCAAATTTTTCTTTAGGAAGTCAACCCTGAAAGCTGCCAGTTTTTCTATTACCCTTGAATTATGGAAATTGTATTTATTTAATTTTATTGTTTTTACAGAATTGCACCTTGTGGCCAAAGGGCAAAGATATGACTCGTTGCATTAGGGATTTATTTTTTTCAAAGAGCTTTTTTGGTAGCCATCCTTTATATACTTGGAACAGTTGGTAGGAAGAGAGCTTATTGAGAAAGTAAGATTTTCATAAGTATTCTGTGGGATGTTTTTATATAAAGTTTTAGAAGAGAAGGAAAGTGACTTTCACTTAGGATACAGGTGAAAGATGCTGGGGATGCTTTTCTGTTTTCTGTGGGGAATTTAATACCAGAGATGGAAAAAAATGGCTCTTCTCCATTAAAAAAATGAAAATAGTCCCCCTTCCAATATTAAACCCCTAAATAGCTATTTTTGAAATTGAAATGTTTAAATTTTATAAATCAGCTCTTTCCACTATACAACTTAAATGATAACCATGTGCTTTTAACATTTTTATAACATTCCATCCTTCTCATTCCCCTAAAACTTATGAGTTGATCATAAGAGAAGTGATTTTTTTTTAATTAGGAAAATGTGCAGGTTTTTAGGCAAGGTTTGGATTAGAGAAAGAACCAGGAGCCAGTGTGCCCAGCTGCTTCTGCACCCCTTCCTCACCCTGCCCTTCCAGAATCTCACCAAAAAACTGTTCACTGCTGAGAAATCAAGAATAAATACTTTCCTCAAGTGGTAGAACACCAGCTTTGAGTGAAAGTGTGCCAGGACCTGAGTTCAAGCCTCAAAAAAAAACCTCCCTTTCCCCCCCCCCCACACAAATACACATTAAAGAAAAAGAAGTAAATGCTTTTCTCCATATTGTTTTTGGCTATGCAAATGTTTGTTCTACATTTTACACTGTAGGCAGTGTAGCTACAGACACATGATTTGGGTTTTTGTTTTATTTTCTTACCCCATTTGGTTTTAGGGTATGTAAATAACCTAAAATGTACATTGAATTTCACATTGTAAAAGTTTTATTTTATTCCTTGTATCATATTATGCCAAAAAATCCTTATGTATATGAAAGTGCATAATAAATATATTTGCTTTACAGAAGAGATTTTTGTTTTTTATTTTCTTCTTGAATCAACATGTGCATGATATGTAAACTGCTGCTTAAAGGTAATATTCTATTAAATGTTTTAAGTATTTACAAGAGAAAACTGAGCTGTTTGCACTTTCCAAAAGAAGGTAGAGAGAGAAAGACATATCCTTTATGTCTTCCTGAAATTTCTGTAAGGATGTCTTGAACTCCTCTCCTCTCCCCTAACTGGCCAGGTGGTCCCACTGAGATCTTTCTAGAATCCGGGGGGCCAAGAAGTTGTGTTTTTATGGCTCAGTGATTGTCACACTACTAAGGCAGACTCACCCTGAAGATTTGTGTTTAATTTCCAAAGTGATCATTTTCTGAATCAGTATGCTCCTCACCCAGTAACCTTGATCCTTTACAACCTTCTGTGTCCTCCCCAGCACACAATATGCTGACCACTACCCCCCACACACACACACACGCAGACACACACACACACACCAATATGCATACTGCAGCTCCCAAGGGAAGTTTCTTAAACAGCCAAGAAATTTTGTTCTTATCTTTTAGTAATTTTTCATGTTCTTCAGTAATTTCCCTACTCAAAGCTTATAAAGTTGTTGGGTTAATCAAAAATTGTATTCTAGGCAAGTGTAACATAAGTTACACAGAAATGGGAAGGATACAGACCTCTGGATACAGCGCAGAGCTCTCCAGCTGTGGTCTAGGAAGCCTGCCCTGGGACAGGTGGTGCCCTGTGTGTCCTCAGGTCCACACCCTGGGAGGGAGGGACTTCACACCACTGAGCTGAGAATTTGCATGTACCATGCAAATACATATATAGCCTTGTTTTCAAGATTTAGCCTCTGCTCATCAATCCTATAAAAAGTACAATTAACTCATTTTAAGTGGCTTCATTTTTCATAGCACCTTTGGATATTTACCTTTAAATTTGCTTATTACCAGAATGATATGACTTCTTACCAAATTCTGACAGCTATGTCCTTAGGGAGGAATAAATATGTGTAACATTCAAAAAACCCCTGTCCACTTGGAGCATTTACTTATTCTAGGTCTATGTGAACCTTGATGTAATGGTATAATTGTCAGGACACTAAGTCATTGCAGTATTTTTTGGCTGTTTTTTTCTGCTTATTTTGTTTTTATATCTTTGTTATGTTTCTTATTTTCTTTTTTTTTCTTAATGCTGTTTGTGTGTGTGTGTGTGTGTGTGTGTGTGTGTGTGTGTGTGTGCGCGTGCACGCACACATGTGCCAGTCCTGAGACTTGAATTCCTCCTGAGCTTTTTTGCTCAAGGCTAATGCTCTACCACTTGAGCTATAGCTCCACTTCCAGCTTTTCTTATCTTTTTAGGTAAGTAATTAATTGGCAATAAGAGTCTCTCAGACTTTCCTACCCAGGCTGGCCTTGAACTGCAATCCTCAGAACCTCCTGGGTAGCTAGGATTACAGGCGTGAGCCAGCAGCACCTGATTCTTCGTACCATTTTTTTTCAGTACTGGGAAGTGAACTCGACCTCAGGCTTGCTAAGCAGATCTTCTACCATTAAGCCTGCATTCCCCTCATGCTACATTTTTTTTGTTTTGTTTATAAACTTAAACTCAACACCTTAAATTAATCTGTACTGTCCTAGAAGTGTGTACAAATTGAGTACACCTGCTGACCAGCTGGACCAAGGTATAGACCACAGACATCACCTCTACCTCGAGACATTATCTACAATGAAGAAAAAGCTGTTTCCATTATCTTAGGTAGCATTTTTCCAAATTAAAAAAAAAAACCTACATAAATGGAATCAAATAGTATGACTTCTTTTTGGTGATTTCTTTCCATATAATGTGATCTCTTACTGTATATCAGCAGCTTACCTTTACAGTATAATTTTTTTATGTTTAGGGTAGTATAATATTCTATTATGGTAATAAGCACATCATACTTGTAAAAAATCTATTACTACTAATGAACTTAAGAATTATTTCCAGTTTGGGTTTCTTAGGAAGGATACTGCAGGCAATATAGAGTCTTGCCCATAGATTTGGTGTTCATATATACATACACACACACACACACATATACACACACACACATACAATTTCTTTTTAATAAAATGGAAATTACTAGATCTTATAGCATATGTATGATTGATCATCTTTTCAGTGGATAAAACCAGTTTTACTTTTATCAGCTGGAAATGTGACTTAGTGGTAGAGTGCTTGACTAGCATGCATGAAGCCCTGGGTTCGATTCCTCAGAAAAAGCCAGAAGTGGCACTGTAGCTCATGTGGTAGCCTTGAGCAAAAGAAGCTCAGGGACATTGCCCAGGCCGAGTTCATGCCCCAGAACTGGCTGGAAAAAATGGGAAAAAAAAGTGGATTTTATCAATTTCCACTTAGTGATGTAAAGGCCAGGCGCTGGGTGGCTCACATCTGTAATCCAAGCTACTCAGGAGGCTGAGATTTGATGATCACGCTTCAAAGCCAGTTCAGGCAGGAAAAGTCCATGAGATTCTTTATTTCCAATAAACTACTCAGAAAAAGCTGGAAGTGGCACTGTGGCTTAAGTGGTAGAGCACTGTCCTTGAGCAAAAGAAGCTCAGGGATAGTACCCAAGCCCTGCGTCCAAGGCCCAGGACCAGCAAAAAAGAAAAAAAAAAAAAAGTGATGTAGAACAATTTACCAAAAGTTGCTATTTAAGCCGCATGCTGGTGGCTCACGCCTGTAATCCTACCTACTCAGGAGGCTGAAATCTGAGGATCATGGTTCAAAGCCAGCCTGGGCAGGAAAGTCCATGAGACTTTCCTCCAATAAATCACTAGAAAACTGGAGGTGGTGCTGTGGCTCAAGCGGTAGAGTGCTTGCCTTGAGCTGGAGAGCTGAGGGACAACACCCAGGACCAGAGTTCAAGCCCCATGACCGACAAAAAAAAACAACAAAGCAAAACCAAAAGTCACTATTTAATTTTTTCCACTCTATTTGTGTGTAAGTATTGCACTACAGTTTGAATTTATTTCTATCAGATGGCTTATGAAATTAGATGTTATACATATGATTGTATATTTGGATGTTTTATTGTGGGGAGGAATTTGGACATTTTCCCCCTTTGCTACCCTGGTTTGTAGAAATTCTTTGCTATTTTTAGATATTATAGGTTCTCTTTATATATTATATATTATAACATGAATTATATTGAATAATATGTTAATATAAAATATTAATATAGTGACAATATATTAATATGTTTTATATATTAGGGATATATAATATATTACAATATAACAATATAATTGTGTTATATACTTATAATGTATTAATGTCAGACACCGGGGGCTCACACATAATCCAAGCCACTTAGGAGGCTGAGATCTGAGGAAAGCGGTTCAAAGCCAGCCCGGGCAGGAAAGTCTGTGAGACTCTTTAGTTTTGTTTGTTTGGTCAGTCATGGGGCCTGAACTCTGGGTCTGGGCACTGTCCCTCAGCTCTTCAGCTCAAGGCTAGTGCTCTACCACTTGAGCCACAGCGCCACTTCTGGCTTTTTCTGCTTATGTGGTGCTGAGGAATTGAACCCAGGGCCTCATGCATGCAAGGCAAGCACTCTACCGCCGAGCCACCTTCCCAACCCCACTGTGAGACTCTTATCTCCAGTAAAACCACTCAAAAAACTGGAGTGGCACAGAGGGTCAAGTGGTAGAGTGCTAGCCTTGAGCTGAAGAGCTGAGGAACAGCCTTCAGGCCCAGAGTTCAAGCCCTATGACCAAAAATAAATAAAAATGAATAATGTATTAATGTTATATAATATGTATAGTTATATAATCTGTAATATACAATATATAATATAATTACATATTTATAACAATAACAATATACTATAATAATACATTTATATTTTGATATATATAATATATGTCTTGTAACTCTATACTTGTCCCTTTTGCTTTTTTTTGGTGTTGGTCCTGGGGCTTGAACTCAGGGCCTATCACTCTTCCTGAGCTTTGTAGTCAAACCTAATGTTCTACCGCTTTGAGCCATAGCCCCATTTCTGGCTTTTTGGTGGTTAATGGGAGATATGAATCTCCTGGACTTTTCCTACTCAGACTGCCTTCAAACTGCAATCCTCAGATCACAGCCTCCTGAGTAGCTAGGATGACATGAGCTACTAGCACCCAGCTTATTCTTTTCACTTTGATGTATTTTAATAATGACATAACATCTTTTATGTGCTGGTAGTAAGGCTTGAATTCAGGGCCTGTACTCTCGCTTGGTCTTTTCTGCTCATTTGGTGCTCTACCAGTTGAGTTACAACTCCACATCTGGCTTTTTGCTGATTAATTGGATATATGAGTCTTCTTTGATTTTTTTTGTCCAAACTGGCTTTGAATTGCAGTCCCCAAATCTCAGCCTCCTGAATAGCTAGGATGAGGCACTGGTGCCTAGTTGGGAGAATATTCTTATTTAATAATATCTAATCATTTTTAGTTGTATATTTTTCAAGTCTTGTTGAATAAATTGTTGCCCAATATCCTCCTGTTTTTCTCAATAGCTTGAAGTGTTACCTTAATTACTGAAGTAATCAGACTTTGTTCACTGAGAAGTTGTATTTTCACGGTATTGTTGGCCTAGTGAGTTTTATTAAGGAACTCTGAGTCCCAATTTTGTTTTCCTTAGCTTAACTTCTTATCTTTCCTTAGCTTGGCTTTCCATACAACATTTCCATATAGCTTTCAAACAGGCTTCCTAATTATTCCTTAAAACTCTGATATCTTGATAATTGGGTGAGTTGATTTATTCATACAGTTCAGCATTCCAATCAATTTTTTGTGTATGTTTTATTATCTAGATCTTCTTCACTTTGAGTAATGTGCTTAGTTTTCTGTGTAGAAGTATACGCGTTGATTGGCTGTATTCCTGCATGATTTGTTGTTTATTGATACTGTGTAAATGGAAATTATAATTTCATTTTCTTTGTTGCTGATATATAGTTTATTTCAACATATTAATCATGTGTTC